CCCACAGGACATAGAGATGCGATTACCTTCACCAAAAGCAGACTGGTTATCATCCCACCGTTTTTTACTTTGTCAAATAGGAACTTGCTACAATGCCCTTGAATCTGTGATGGATTGTCCTGTTTCAGGCTCCCAAGTGCCAGGATTCTAGGTGTATGCCAGCTTACCCATTCTCACCCATTAAATGTTATCTTGACTTTTTCTTTTTCTTTCTTTATTTTATTTTATTTTATTTTTTTGGAGCTGAGGACTGAACCCAGGGCCTTGCGCTTGCTAGGCAAGTGCTCTACCACTGAGCTAAATCCCCAACCCCTATCTTGACTTTTAAGATTTATTTGGCTTTGATTGTTTGTTTTGAAATAAGGTAGCCTTGAACTTGCAATGTTATATTTGTATGCTGAGTTGTTTTAACCTTTGGAATCTATTGTTTCATTTAAGAAAAGTATCTGATAAGGGTTTCTCATTGTTATTTAGCTCCGGCAATAAAATAAAAGGAATAGACATACTTTCAACATGGAAGTAATGTTCTTTTGTATTAGGCAGCCCCTTTTCTTATATAGTAACAGCTTTAATTGATTAGAAGTAAGAAATATCTATCCTCCTCTTCCCCTCTCTAAACTACATGCACATGTAGTCTCTAAAGTGGCACCTGAACTATTCACAGCTCATTCTATGTTAAAGGAGAGTGAAGTATCTTTTTGTGTAAATACTGTATTATCGCCTCAGCGACCAGATAAATTACATATAGGCTTCTGCCATGTCTACTTTATTGTTCATTTTGAGAAAATGTGTGATTGTCATGTGCATATATCCTATCATGTATGGTTTTTTTTAGTGTTTTGAAATGAAACACTAATAAGTAAAGTGATTATTTAGGATCGTAAGTTTACATTTATTATTGACCACAGTGGTATATTTTAATTGAGTCGTGTTGGTTAATTACAATCAATGCATATCAAAAGAAAAATTTCATGGATATGTTTTTGACATTTCAAAATAGATACTTTATTATTGTCATTAATAACTGATGCTTTTGTCTTATGATTATTATTAATGTTGAGTAGTAGAGTCTTGAACTTTGAAAAGTAAATTTGTTTGCATTTACTCTTTTAAAAAGATTCGTTTTATTTTTACTTGTGTGTGTGTATACACACATGTGTGTTTGTGCATATATGTGCATGTATGTGTGAGTACCCATGGAAACCAAAAGAAAGTACCAGATTCCTTGGAGTTAGAGTTACAAGCAGTAGTGGGTGCTGCAGACTAAACCCTGGTCTTCTGCAAGAGCAGTCAGTGCTCTTAACTGCTGAGCCATCTCTCCAGCTTTTGCATTTAGTTTTAATAGATATCATTTGCCCCATGCATATGCATATGATTCCTGGAGTTTTTAAAGCTTCTGCGACTATACCCAGACAAGTATTTTAAAGATGTTCTGTGTATCACCACAGTAAGATGCTTCCAAGTTCTTCATACTTTTGCTGTAGAAAACTTTATCATTTTCATGCTGGTATAACTCCCTCAGAATGTGTCCAAGAAGAATGTTTTAATGGAATCCTGCAGTGAAAGCCAAACTGCTAAGAATAGAACCCATATGTGAGGCCTTGTAGTTCCTTCAAAAGTTATAAATGAGTATATGCTTACCACTTATAAAAACTATCACTATATTTCATATGCTCTAAAATTTCATCCATTTTAGGTCAAACCTTTATTATACTAAGCACTACAAATGATTGGTTCTGCCACTCAAACTGTGGCTTACATTTGAGTGAGAGCTGCTAAAATGAAGAAGGAAAAAGAAACAAAACCAAATCTGTCATCTTGGAATTGATGCAATATGGTAGTGCTTTCCAGATCATGCAACTGCCTATGAGACTGGCATGCTATCTACCTGCTGATAGAGCATGTCATGTAGCTATTTAGATAGAACATCATTTCATAGATGAGTGGTGATGAATGACTAGTAAGTGTTTCAGAAAAGTTTAATTGGAGAAGGGTGAGTTCTTTCAGTTTCTATGGCTGTTTAAATTACTTTATTGCAGAGCTCACTCCCTTCTCTTTCTATCCTGTCTTTCCTGTGACAATGAAAATAAGGATTTCAGAAAAAATCATTTTAAATATTGATATTTTTTGTTTTGTTTTTCTAGACAGGGTTTCTCTGTATAACATCCTGGGTGTCCTAGAACTCGCTTTGTAGACTAGGCTTGTCTTGAACTCATAATAGCTGCCTTTGCCTCCTAAGTGCTGTGATTAAAGGCATGCACCACCACTGCCCAGATAAATATTGATTTCTTTTAAAAAAGGATAAAGCATACATTTCTGTATGAGGAGATTTCAAATAGGCTTTTGAGTTACCTGTGATATCACAAGTTTAGAAATTACTACTCAAAATGCCTTTCTTTTATTTAGTTGTATTTGATAATGTATCAGGAAAACGTTTTTCTTTCATTCATGTTTTCCTCGGTAATTGTTTAAATCATAGGCATTTTACCATGTCTATAATCCCAGTTAAACAACACAAAAAGAAGAATTAAAAAAGAAGTTTCCTATATTCTTCCTCCTCTCACTCCCTTTGAGATCTTCCAAAATAAATGTCTGTGTATTTAGGGACATCTGTGACTTTCCTGTCTATCATGGGTAGATCTATATTCAAATTCAGCAGGGTGTAACATGGAGCATGTGTCTGAGCCTCTGATGTATAGTTTCATTTACAAGGGAGGTCAACGTTCCTCTGGGCAATATGGTGCCTTGATAGCAGAGCATCTTTGGGAAATGAAATTTGATGAATTTCCATAGTTCTAGAAAGAAGATTGTTATCTATGAGACAGAAATGGATTCTAGATATGCCATTCTATTTAAATATCTAAATTAAATAATTATATCAATGAGATGAATATTAGTAATGTATCAGAAATAGCTCCAGTTTAAAATGTAGTATACTGGCTTAACTCTCCAATGTAACCCAAGCAAAACTCTTTTTTTTTTCTTGCTGTGTTTAAAATATTTGCATTAATTCTTTGAGGATTTCTTATGTGTGTGCATGAGTGTGCAGATGTGTGCACCTGTCGTGACAAGAATGGATGTCAGAGGACAGATTTTAGGAATTGATTCTTTCCTTTCACTATGTGGGTTCCAAGGATTAAACTCAGGTTGTCAGATTTCACCACAAGCACCCTTACCTGCTGAACCCTCTCATCAGCCCTTTTAAGTGACAATAGAAAAATGGCTTGCCTTAGATGAATGGAGACATATCAAAATACACCAGCTGAGGAGGCTCTAGTTAATAATGGCAAAACCAGCTTTAACAACCAGGTGTTATCAGAATATCCTGTTGAATTCCTTCTTTTCAGGAGGAAATGGCAGTTGAGACACTATTTTTATTGTATTTTGTGCAAGTCTATAAATTCACAAATCATGTATCATTAAAAAGGTAAAAGTAAATGCTTTCAATTGCCTATAAACTTTATGTTTAGGGCATCCCTTGATTATAGAGTTTTTGGTTACTTAATCTTTCAAAAGTCTTTTAAAGTGTTTGAAGGTACATAATAATTTAAATAGTAATATTACATGGCCTGGTTTGAAAACAAAACAAATTAGAAATTCACTGTCACCATTCTTTCTTATGGTAGATACGTAGATATAGTAAATACAGTGCCAACTTTTTGCATCTTAGAGGATTTTAGATATTTTAACACCTATTTTGTACTTTGCCTAATTTTCACACAGAACTTTATCTTATTTTAAATTGAAAACAGGAACCAGACAGAGAGTGCTGAAATGGTCTTTCATGCTTGTTGGAAAGTTTTATGTTTTCAGAGGAGGTATATTAAAGGGGAAAATAATATCTTGGAGACTAGGAAGCCCCTGATAATGGTTTTAGAATTTAGTGTTCTTGAGAAGTTGCCAAGCTGAGGTAGACTGCTCTCAGAAAAATGTTAGATTAGCTTATTCTGAAGAATGGACTAGATAGGAAGTAATTTAATTTTACTAGCATTAAGATTCACAGAAAAGCATACCTGTGAAATTGATATGGAATCTTATTCAAATGCTCTTTTCATTTGATTTGACGAATTCCATTGTTGAGCCTCACTGAGTCCACAGTTTGAGCATCTGAGCCTCATAGAGAGGGAACACACCCCAACTTTAGAATGTCTGAGATTCTTGTACAGGTATCCATCATCTCTAAGTCTTTAGTGATAACTGTCTGACTCTTTTCCCAGGTTTAGCAGACTGTGATAAGCATACAGCAGCCCCAACTGATTTAATTAATTTTTATTTAAAAGAAAATTGACTCAAGATTATTAGGCATTCTTGAAAGAGTATGAATGCTAAGCTGTCACCACATGTAAGCTGAATAACTTGCTTTCTTCACAGATATTGCAATGTTTCAAGTATTCAAAATCAACATGTATGCTGTCATCATCATAAGCTGAAGTGTTTCATGAGCATGTGTATGTATCAGGCAACTAAATGGATAGAACTACTATAGCTCTGTTGCATAGGAGAGAGAGACCTTTAGAGATTTAATACCCTGTCCAAGAGTACAATCTGTAAGCAGTCATGTTGGGCAGTGAATTTGGAGCCCAAACATGATCCTGTGTTTCATGACTAATAATTGTAGTCTATTGAAATAATTCTCAATGTTTTATTCATGAAAATACAATAAAATTCCTCTATGATAATTTGGACACTTAAAACAAGTATAAGTAACAAATTTCAACTCTTGCCTCATTCTCTAAGCAATCCACACAGCTTTGGGTACCCAAGGCAACAGGTCATGCACAGATATATGGAGAGCAGGGCTTCTAAGTCCTGGACAAAAATAACTTCTGATATAGTGAGTAGGATATTGGCAGACTTTAGAGGTTGGCCTTCATAGGTTTGGTAACAGGCAGAGCATGGGTGGACACCATGCACTGCACAAATGGACTCATAGAAATATAGTATGCATCAGCCCAGGGAGATTCATTCACAAGCATTAGGTTACAGGGGTGGAGCCTTACCCGGGCCTTCTGCTCCATTTCTAGCATTAATCTTTCATGTTGCTCAGCTATGGCCAGTGTTGCAGAGTGGACCTTCTGATAGATCATTTCTCCTTCCCTTGTTTGAAAAGTGAATAGTCCTTCTCCCGTGTCACACATTCTGTGAAAAAAAGAGATAAAGAGATGGGTCTCTGTGGATTCAAGTATGTCAACAGTTTCTATATAAAAAATACTCTTACTCTCAGGTTTCCTCCTCCATGCTAGTTCATTCTTGGACAAATCATTCAATACATGCATCTCCAAATGGCACATTAGGGGGAACTAAAGGTGAATATTCATGTATACTCAAGTTTTTAAAAGCTTTTCAAACTGTGCAGGAACAAGTGAAAATGATTTAGACATGCTCAGTGTGGGAGTCTGAATATTGACAGTGGGGTTTCCCTACTCTCAAAGATAGCTACCATATGTTTTACCTTTTGGGCAAAGAAAAGGAGTTTTAATGTCTATTACACATACCTTATTTGAATTTAAAAATATTTGGCTTTAACATAGATTCTGACAATAACAGGTGTGTAAATTTAGGCAAGATGCTCACCTACCTATCTCTGCAATATTTCCAAAATTGGAATAATAGAACCAAGTCAAACAACCTTAAATGTAAAAGAGTTGGCAAACAGTTTACATTGCTGCTTAATATACTCAGAGTGTTAAAAATTGTTAGCTACGTTCATCATAAAGTTTGGAACTAATAATAATTAATGTTTAGAGGTCATTGAGAAAATATCTACCCTAGAGAAAGGTTGAATTGATCTATTTTTGTATGAAACAAACAGTTATGCTTTTATGTTATGAATTAGGAAGAAGAATATAGTTAGTGCTATGGGTGACAACATGTAATAATAATGAAATTCTTACTAGTTATGCTAGCAGAAACATCAAAATTTAAGTTCATTTTCAGTTATTTAATGATAATCACTTGAAAAGACAGTCTTCATTGAAAATTATTAGACAATAGATTTACAGATCAGTTTTATTAATAAAGGCTAATTATAAAATAAAATCTTATTTTAATTAGTATTTTAGCCCAGCATTAGCCTATAACTGGAGTATCTATATCCATGTGATAATAGAATCTAATATGAAGAACTAGCTACATTTCTATGCTGCCAGTTTTAAGTTACTATCATTGAAAGATTTACAGGTTACAATGTCAAAATATTCATGAGACAAAAACTATTGGACAATTTGGATTCTTCCCTATGACTCTCCAAGGGGATTTTAGTAGCAAAGAAATGTCTCAAGAGACTTCCGACATTGCCCAGGCTGTGACTGCCATCCCTCCGGGCCCATCCAACCAGTACTTAGCTTCTGTGAAAGCAATCTTAATAAAATTCACACGGCATGAAATGGAAAGTCCTGGGGAAAAATCAAGAGTTTTCACAAAGTGAAACAAATGGGCTATCTTTGTTGATGCTGGGGTATTTGGAAATGCAAAAGCCACAGAAAAACCATTGATAAGTCCTGAGCACATCTTGTTTGAGGTGGAGATTTTGTTCACTGTCAAGTGCAGAACACTGCTTATTAGCCTCAAGAAATGAGATAATGAAGGCACAAATTGTTATTTCACACTCAGTCATTGAGATGTGAAGTGCTGATGCCTGTCCACTTCCCGAGACTTAATTCTGCCCAGTGTGGGACTCTGAATGCTTACAGGAGGGTTTCCCTAATTTTGGAAATAACTACCATTCACTTACTTTGAGAAAGGAACAAGCATTTGAATGTATTATAAAAAGTAAAGAAACATTAAGTACAAAGAGCTTCTGCACTGTGATTATATCAACCAAGGGCAAGGTTCAGATTCTTCATATGATGGATTCAAGTTTATTGTTTATGTCAGTCAAGTTGACTTGAGAAGTTTAGGAGTCCTTGCCTTAGCATGTTCTGTCTGAAGGAGGATATGGAACAGAAATGTGGAGTTTTTCTTATCCGTTTAAACAGTGTCATGGTAGCAAGTCAATACTACATGACAGGCTAAGGAGGAGGCAATAACAGATTGCTTTTGACTTGCTTTTCAAAGTAGGGCCTCAAGACAGCAATACCTGTACCAGTGAAAAATTATTCATCGTCCTGACTTAAAATATGTATCTTAACAAAGTTCTACATAATTATATGAACATTGTGAGACTCAACTTACTCTTTTCCTAAAGTGGGAAGAGCTCAGAGGTGGTCACTGCATTTGAACATCTCGACTCTATGCCCACCTTCTTGACATTAAAGACATTCAGTGGTGCATTTAGTTTGTGAAAAGGTGAAAACATGGATGCTGTGTATTTGGCCTAACTCCAAACTGAAGATTTTGTTCATAATTAAAGATGAGGGTATTATCTCTCTTCACTATTAAGATATTTGTACAGAAGAATCCTTTTATTTAAATTAAAAATTTTAATTATGTATATGAGTGTGTCTCTGTACAAGTATTATCACGTTTGCATAGCGGCTACTACATCCTCAGAGTCCATAGTAAGACATAAGCTCCTTTGTAGCTAGAGTTACAGGGGTAAAGAGATGCCTGACATGGGTTCTGAGAACTGAATTTGGGTGCTCTGGAGAAAGCAGACACTCTTAATTGCCAAGCTTTCAACAGCCCCTTCTTTATCTAAATTAAGTTGTTGAAGGTCTCCTTCAGCACTGAAGCATAGTCTGGAACCTTATAAAAATTCTAGAAGGTTAGTAGGGTAGACACACTTGCTCCCAGGTTTGTTTTGTTTTATCTGATCACTATTAGGAAAGAAATTATATCAGTCTGGGACTCTGGGGATGACAGCATAAATTTGGACTTTCAGGTCATGGACTGTCATATACATTTATCACCTATTTTAAAGTTGGCCCTGTAAATTAGGCACTGCTTTGTGATTGAGAATTAAAAAAGAGAGAAAACAAACACTATTTCTGAGACTATCTGAGTAGCAGATGGGAGAAAACCATTGGTTAAGAAGCTCTATATAATATACTTAAGTACTACAATGTGTAAGTACTATGATGTGAACCACAGAGGCCTGACCTGAACACAGTTTTAAACTGTTGACTCTGACTCTTCATCTATAAAATGGGGACAACAAAATTTGTTCACGAGTTTTAAAGGTCAAATGTATTTATTGGCTCATGAAATGACCTAGTGAAGATGCTAATGATCAGGGCAAGGCTCCTTTGGCACATCTAGGTATCAAACCTTCCTCCTTCATTGCATAGTAAAGACCGTCTTCAAGATGGTTCTTGGGATATTACTTCTGTTTCTGTTAGAAGCCTTGGGTCCTGCTGGACTATGCAGGTGAATAACAACAATGTGACTTGGGTGGTAGGCGATTTTGATCCTGAAGGAGTTAAAATCTCAGGGTCTGTCTATACAGGGGCCCTTCAGGGAAGACTTGAATGTTAAGGCTCAAAGTCTTTGTTTGACAACACTTCCCATGTGCTCCCCGTCATTGCAGAGAGAATTGTATCCCATTCTAGAAGTCTGTGCCCCATCACCTCATCTCTTCATTCACTGGCTTTAATGTGTATTGCATGGTAGTCAACTATATTGAGTAGAACAGCTTTGTCTTGTGAGTCTCATAGAAAACCCTTATGATGCTGAGCGTTTATTCTGGGCATAGTACCATTTGAGACATCTAGCACATGCTAGATTGTCAAGAGTATTGCAACATGATCAGAATCTGAAAGTTTCAGACTTTTCCCTGAATGGGGTACATTTTAGATTCTGTTTCCTGAGGAAATCTCTGAGAACTTCTCCTCTATCTTTATCCCATTTCAGTCCCTACTTCCATAATGACTCAAACTTGCAACCTTTGGTCTCATTTCTGTTATGTTCTGATAAACATGGACTACCAAGAGTGTGTGAGACTGTGTGTGTTCATAAGAACTTACATTCCAAATGAAGCACTTGTATTCCTGGTTTATGTCGTTGGCCTCAAGGAGATAAATAGCCTTAACATATAGAGCAGTAGAGAAAGATTTCCTTGAGAAAACCCTCCATCACCAAACTGTAGCTAGTATTATCCTTTCCTTATCTCTAAGTAAAAATCTCTTTATGAAGTAGAGATTTAAAAATATCAATTTTTCTCCAAAGTGACAAGGAAAAGAGGAGGGGATTGGTCAGTGTGGGAGATGGAAGAAAGACTGAGTGGTAGGGGTGTGCCTATGAGTAAGATATAATGATATGTGCATATGAAATTGTCATAATTCAACTCATTATTTTGTAAACTTTAAAATTAATAAAAAAGGCAAATATAGACAAACTTTTAGATTTTTCTTTGAGAGGAAGAAAGGGAAAACGTGCAGTTAGGTAGGTAGGGAGGTATGAGGGATCTGGGAGGAGTTTGAGGACTAAGAATATGATAAAATATGTTAAATGAAAAAAATAATAAAAATAAAAATTGAAGCCCTGGGTTCAGTTCCCACCACCACATAAATCACTATGTTAACCTAAGTCTGTAACCTTAGCATTCGGAGGGAAGAAACTAGAAAATCAGAAAAAAGTTCATGGTCATTCTTAGCTACATAGAGAGTTCAAAGCCAGCCTGGGACACATGAGACTTTGTCTTAATTTCACCCTCCTGAATATAATTAAAGTAATTATCTGTAAGTTTCTGGGAAAAATTGTGACTTATCTTCCACAAAGTTGTCAGTGAAATAGAACCAAAGCAGATTTCCTTACACTCCTGTATTTCTCTTTAGGATTTAAAATTTAGCATTCAACTATAGACAGTCATAAAATCCTCAGTACCACAGTTTTTCTTCAGAGCAATTTAAACCAATTAACACTTTTATTCTGCTCATGATTTAATATTTATTATCACTTAACAATGTTGGTATTTCACTTCTTTACTATGGAAAGATCCTTTCTGAGAACTCTGTTGAGTCAAACTTTAGAAATGATAGAAAGTATAGAAACAGACCAAATGAATTTGTCAAGTAACTGACCAAATAGAATCCCAGAGAGTAAGGAAGCTGGGATTTCCCACAAATTGTGCTAGATAATTGTCATTAAGAAGAAAAAAAAACCTATCTGAATCTATGTCTCCATCTACAATCATTTAAGTTCCCATTTTTAAATAAAAGGATGGTAATAGTACAACACAAAAAAAATGTAAAAGACTTAGT